AATAATTTATACTCAAGTTTTACTATTAAATTAAGGACTACACAATTGTTAAACTAAAATAATATCTACTTTAATTTTAGAAATTTAAAATAAAATGAAAAAAAAAAATATGTATATATATATAAATATAATCTTATGATAACTTATGGTAAATACTTACGATTAATTGTGGTATTAAGAAAAAATCCTTATAAAGTAAATCTTATAAATAATTTATACTCAAGTTTTACTATTAAATTAAGGACTACACAATTGTTAAACTAAAATGATATCTACTTTAATTTTAGAAATTTAAAATAAAATGAAAAAAAAAAATATGTATATATATATAAATATAATCTTATGATAACTTATGGTAAATATTTACGATTAATTGTGTTATTAAGAAAAAATCCTTATAAAGTAAATCTTATAAATAATTTATACTCAAGTTTTACTATTAAATTAAGGACTACACAATTGTTAAACTAAAATAATATCTACTTTAATTTTAGAAATTTAAAATAAAATGAAAAAAAAAAATATGTATATATATATAAATATAATCTTATGATAACTTATGGTAAATACTTACGATTAATTGTGGTATTAAGAAAAAATCCTTATAAAGTAAATCTTATAAATAATTTATACTCAAGTTTTACTATTAAATTAAGGACTACACAATTGTTAAACTAAAATGATATCTACTTTAATTTTAGAAATTTAAAATAAAATGAAAAAAAAAAATATGTATATATATATAAATATAATCTTATGATAACTTATGGTAAATATTTACGATTAATTGTGTTATTAAGAAAAAATCCTTATAAAGTAAATCTTATAAATAATTTATACTCAAGTTTTACTATTAAATTAAGGACTACACAATTGTTAAACTAAAATAATATCTAATTTAATTTTAGAAATTTAAAATAAAATAAAATATATATATATATATTAATATAATCATATGTTAACTTATGTTATAAACTTATGAATAATTGTGTTAGTAAAAAAAAATTGTTTTATAATATATATATAGAAAGTAAGTAATAATTCATTTAAATTAATCAATCTTAAAAGTAATGCATAAAAAGTAAATCTTATTAATAATTTATTCTCTAGTGTTAGTATTAAAATAAATACTACGCATTTGTTTAACTAAAATATTATCTAATTTATATACAGAAATTAAAAATAAAATAAAAAATATATATATAAATATAATCTTATGATAACATATATTATAGACTTAAGAATAAACTTGTTAGTAAAAAAAAAATGATTTTTAATATATATTTAATACAAAATTTACATTAATCTATCTTAAAAGTAATACTTATAAAGTAAATCTTATTAATAATATATACTCAAGTGTTACTATTAAATTAAAGACTCCACAATTGTAAAACTAAAATAATATCTAATTTAATTTTAGAAATTTAAAAAAAAAATTAAAAAAAAAATATGTATTATGTATAAATATAATCTTATGATAACTTATGGTAAATACTTACGAATAATTGTGTTAGTCAGAAAAAATCCTTATAAAGTAAATCTTATTAATAATTTATTCTCTAGTGTTAGTATTAAAATAAAGACTACACATTTGTTTAACTAAAATATTATCTAATTTATATACAGAAATTAAAAATAAAATAAAATATATATATATATAACTATAATCTTATGATAACTTATATTATAGACTTAAGAATAATCTTGTTAGTAAAAAAAAAATGATTTTTAATATATATTTAATACAAAATTTACATTAATCTATCTTAAAAGTAATACTTATAAAGTAAATCTTATTAATAATATATACTCAAGTGTTACTATTAAATTAAAGACTCCACAATTGTAAAACTAAAATAATATCTAATTTAATTTTAGAAATTAAAAAAAAAAATTTAAAAAAAAATATGTATTATGTATAAATATAATCTTATGATAACTTATGGTAAATACTTACGAATAATTGTGTTAGTCAGAAAAAATCCTTATAAAGTAAATCTTATTAATAATTTATTCTCTAGTGTTAGTATTAAAATAAAGACTACACATTTGTTTAACTAAAATATTATCTAATTTATATACAGAAATTAAAAATAAAATAAAATATATATATATATAACTATATTCTTATGATAACTTATATTATAGACTTAAGAATAATCTTGTTAGTAAAAAAAAAATGATTTTTAATATATATTTAATACAAAATTTAAATTAATCTATCTTAAAAGTAATCCTTATAAAGTAAATCTTATTAATAATATATACTCTAGTGTTACTATTAAATTAAAGACTACACAATTGTAAAACTAAAATGATATCTACTTTAATTTTAGAAATTTAAAATAAAATGAAAAAAAAAAATATGTATATATATATAAATATAATCTTATGATAACTTATGGTAAATATTTACGATTAATTGTGTTATTAAGAAAAAATCCTTATAAAGTAAATCTTATAAATAATTTATACTCAAGTTTTACTATTAAATTAAGGACTACACAATTGTTAAACTAAAATAATATCTAATTTAATTTTAGAAATTTAAAATAAAATAAAATATATATATATATATTAATATAATCATATGTTAACTTATGTTATAAACTTATGAATAATTGTGTTAGTAAAAAAAAATTGTTTTATAATATATATAGAAAGTAATAATTCATTTAAATTAATCAATCTTAAAAGTAATGCATAAAAAGTAAATCTTATTAATAATTTATTCTCTAGTGTTAGTATTAAAATAAAGACTACACATTTGTTTAACTAAAATATTATCTAATTTATATACAGAAATTAAAAATAAAATAAAATATATATATATAAATGTAATCTTATGATTACTTATATTATAGAATTAAGAATAATCTTGTTAGTAAAAAAAAAATGATTTTTAATATATTTTTAATACAAAATTTACAATAATCTATCTTAAAAGTAATACTTATAAAGTAAATCTTATTAATAATATATTCTCTAGTGTTACTATTAAATTAAAGACTACACAATTGTAAAACTAAAATAATATCTAATTTAATTTTAGAAATTTAAAATAAAATAAAATATATATATATATAAATATAATCTTATGTTAACTTATGTTATAAACTTATGAATAATTGTGTTAGTAAAAAAAAATTGTTTTATAATATATATTTAAAGTAAGTAATAATTCATTTAAATTAATCAATCGTAAAAGTAATGCATAAAAAGTAAATCTTATACATAATCTAATATCATAGTATTAATATCAAATTAATTATTAAAGTATTTTTAACTATTAAACTAGTTTAATGTCTTAATCATCTTTTGCTGTAACAGTAGTTTTATGTATAAAAATTTATATACATCTTACAACATTATTTATGATATATACTTTTTAAACAATTTATTTTATATAATGATAAAGGTAAATTTTCTAGTACCAATGTTTTAAAAATCTCTAATACTCTAAATTTCTACACAGATTATAGAAATAATAATGACTGAATCATAAGTCATTAACGCACAAACATAGATAATTGTATATTTACAAAAGTGCTTTCAAGTCTTGGTAATAATAATTAATACTCTATTGTGTTAATTGATATGGTTCATGAAAATATTTTAATGATCAAATTATTGATGTAAAGAAGGATTTATTGAATACACTTACCTTTTGTTTCTTGTATGATACAACTTGTTAATGATGCGTAAGTCAACAAACCAGTGTTTTAAAAAACATTTTCAAACTCAGATTTTCGCTGAACAATTTTTTGATGTTTCGGGTTCACGAGCAATATAATATTTCTTTGTCTTTAACAAGGCAATATCTATCAAAATATTTTCTCAAATTCTTATTAATTAATCACGAAAAAAAATTTACAACTAAAACTTTTATAGCTTTTTAATTGCAAATAAGATTTTTAAGAAAATATTATTTATAATACTTTTAAAACAACCAACCTTTTCATATATTAACATACTATACTGCAGTAACTATGAAAACGTAACATACTTTATTGTTTGACTATAGAAGAATATTTAGCCAATATTATAATTATATTAAAAAATATGTTATAATGTAGAATTTTTATTCTCCTTTAAAAACAACTATACAAACGATCACTTAATAATTTGTTAAATAAAATTTATTCCATTCATAAAGTTTCCTTTAGTTGAATTTCAATATTTTATGATATTCACTTATCTTAACTTTAGACAATTCTAAATTTTACACTGAAGGTGATGATCACATAAGGTACAAAACATATATTAATCATATCAAATACACATTTTTATAACTGCAAAAAAAAAGAAGATACACCTGGAAAGCTTTCTGCGATACATAAAATGTTACAATTAGAATTTAAGAATTGTTCTCTAAATGTGAAAAAAATTACTATAAAATTTATTTTAATCTTAAGTATATTATGTAATATTAAAGCCTATATAATAATAATGTTAGGAAAATCAAGAAAGATGCATTATTAAAAAGATTAAATTTCTAAAAATATATTAATTATTTATTCTTTAAATGTTAATATTAAATTAAGGACTACACATTTGTTAAACTAAATTATTATATAATTTATATACAGAAATTTAAAAAAAAATAAAGTATAGATATAAATATAATCTTATGATAACTTATGGTATATACTTATGACGCCCCTCAAGGTGGTACTAAGCATTTAGTACTAANTGACGCCCCTCAAGGGGGTACTAAGCATTTAGTACTAAGGGTTTAGCGAACCTGGGGCCCTGAGCTACCCTCTCCATGGGTATAATGGAGTTGGCGATAGGCTAACAACCTATCCTGTAAAAATCCCTAGTTCAGGAATCAAATATAAATTTGCTTTGGAATTGTGGATCAAAGGACTGTAGACTGGAAATCGGCATTACGTTTTGGAACATGGAATGTACGCACTTTATTTAAACCTGGAGTAGTAGGAACAATAGTTAGAAAGATAGAAAGATACAAGTTAGGAGTAGTGGCACTACAGGAAATGAAGTGGCAAGATACGGGCTCAATACTAATAAGTAATACAACGTTATTTTTTGGTGCTTGTGACGGAAGAAGACAAGCTGGAAGTGGATTCGCGGTTAATAACAAGCTACTAGCAGCGGTAAAAAGTTTTAAAGTTATAAACCCTAGATTAACGATGTTCACACTGGATACAAAATGGTTTGAAGTAGTCTTCGTAAATGGGAATGCTCCCACAGAGGACAAGGATAAAAATGAAAAAGATGATTTCTACTCGTGGTTAGACAATATACTGTGTGAGATACCAAGAGGCTGTGTACAAATCATATTAGGAGATTTTAACGCAAAAATCGGACGTGAAGAATGTTTTAAGCCGATAATAGGAGGGCATAGTCTACACCATTTATCGAATGATAATGGGTGCAGACTTATAGACTTGGCAACGGGAAGAAATCTAAGGGTTAAAAGTACCATGTTCGCACATAAGAAGATACACAAAGGTACGTGGAGGTCACCAGATGGACGACATATAAACCAAATAGACCATGTGCTTATAAATGAAAGATTTAATAACAGTATTTTAGATGTAAGAACCGTACGTGGAGCTGATAGCGACTCAGATCACTTTCTTGTGGCAGGTAGACTACGAGTGAAATTAAAAAGAAGACAAGAAATAAAGAGAGGAGGAGCTACGGGACGGTTTGACATCACAAACCTTAACAATCCAGCGGTAGTTAAGAATTTTCAAAAAGGTATAGAGGAAAAGTTAAGAATAATAATTGCAAGTGGGTCAGATAGAGAAGTGGAACCGATCGATTATCGTTTGTGGGTGGGTCGGTGATAGTGTTGTACTATAGCACTACGACACTGAATTTTATATTGAAATGAAATAACTACACGATAGTAATCGTATAATCTTTATGATTGCGAAGGTCAGAAATAATAATACAGACGGTTTTATGGGGCCTGGTTGTTATACAGGGTGTTCAGTAAGTCAGGAAACGGGTTTCTATTGTTCTTATTGTTACAAACGATGAGTACAATAGAAACCCGTTTCCTGACTTACTGAACACCCTGTATGTAACGATCGCGTGGTATGATAACCTTACCTGCCTAGCGGTTTTATCGATACAATTAAACGGTTGTGTTCGCGGCGTTGTGCTACTCAAGGTCGTCAGTGCGCGTGTATGTATAGATACCTAATCGCGAAAAATCTACCTGTACCGTGTTTAAAAATACACATAATTTACTATTCGCGGGATAGAGAGAATATCTGTAAGACCGGGCGGGAATTTCACTGTCACAAGTGAACTAAAAGTTAAAAACATCCGTAGTATGGGAAAGGTGAGGAAAATTTCGTTCTTTAAAAAAAAATTACGTAACTAGTATAAAATGTCAGCAGTATTTTCTACAGATCGAACAGCTCTGTAACATTGCGCTACCTATCACGCGCGAAGATTGGACCCGGATGTGGAAGTCGACAACTCTAAAACGAAATCCAAGACATTTATGAGCAAGAGAAAAGACGTCGCCCAGACAATTTCATCCATAAGGGACGTACCATTCCCCTCCCCACTCCACTCGCCCATCTATTATATTCTATCGGCCAATTTCACAGTCGTGCCAATGGCACAATCTATGACGTTACGCAACCAAAGCGTTCCGCAACTCTCGATCCCTGGTGGTCACTTGACACAACAATACAGAACAATTGAGCGTTAACGCTATTCCGCACTCAGAATCTTTACACACTGAAGGAGTTTCCTCCTCCTAGTGAGTTTAAAGATAAAGCGATTGTTGTAACAGCTGTGAAAGACGATGGCACTTTACGCTCAGTAAGAAGCCTGACTAATGAACCCACCTCTGCTAATGGATATTTACGTTTTGTTAATGACGAACTGTTCCTCGATGGTTCCGACTTCAACCAATGCAATCTTCGCATTGTTGACTCTTTAGAGCGACGCTCTATATTACAGTCGTATGTTGGTTCATACGTACTAGATTCTGACACTTAAATTCTTCATGTCTGTATTTATTTTTATGTTTTGACTCAGTATTACAAGAAAGACAAACACAGTTCTGTGTTTGCTTTGTTGTTTCTATGTTATTATTTTATTATTTCATTTTATTTTGTTTACTTAATTACTTTTATGGTTAACACCATGAACACCCTTAGTGGATATTATGTCATCTCCCTTTTATTTTCTTATTTTGTGAATATATGTTTTACGATTAAGCTAATCGTAATTATCTGAAACTATAATCACAATGAGATTTTCTTAACTCAACTCTTTGTCGTTACAATAGATAAAATCTATTCAGCTCAAGAAAAGATGATACTTTGATAACGCATTCCATACAACATTTTCTCTTCATTTATTGATACTTTTATTTATTTTGTAAAAATCAACACATGAAAAATGCTGATTGTTAATATCCATTAATAATCTTTTAATGCCACTTGTAAAAGCCTATCATAGCCAGAAAACTATCATAGCCAGTAGTCCGACCGCTTCCAGCTCGATCAAACATCCTCTTTCATATTCACCTCGATTGATTGTGAAGATTAATATTTATTTCAGTATTCAAATTTATTCAACTTTAATTACCTTCATATAGTGACTTTAAAATCACAGACGAAACCTTAGATAAGTTATTTAAATATTTATGAAATAATCATTCTTGAGCTCGCTTCAAATATTATATGCTAAAATATATAGTTAGTTTTTTATTATATTCTTTTACGCAAATGTTTCAGCAGATCACGACTATTCGTAAGTTTAATTCAGATCTGTTATTAATGAAACCTCTTATCTACACCCCGTCAGAGATAGTTTAATTTCTTTAATAGTAACTCAATCACAAAGGGTTTGATATATTATACTCAATGATATTTGTCGGCGAAACAACAGAGACTACTCACCTAAACATATTCATTATTAAATCAACTATCTACCTAAATTTATTCTTTATTTGAGTTACTATAAATATTTTTCCTGTATAAGGTGACAATAATTGTGGTCTGGTATATGTGTTTGAATAGCCTGCCAAAATTGTGAAACAAAAAAAAAATAATTTAAAATGTGAATATTGAACGGGAAATAAGCAATTGAATGTACTCTATCATGTAAATGACGGAACACGCTGGATACCTTGTACTCTTAAAAGAACCAAAATGGCAACTTCTAAAATTGCCAAAAAATTATTCGAACCACAAATTACATATCTTTAGATACAATCAGGGATGATATAGTGAAACACACAAATAAAAATAAGATACAAAAACAAACTGTTAATACTATTTACAACAATAAAGATCACTTCTATAATTCAGAAGATACGAATATAAAAATATCTCCGCGTTCATCGGTTGACCAACATGATATATTAACCTCTTTAATAAAAAAATATGTATATTTATTTACTTCAAATATACCTGATTTACATCCAGCCAATGTACAGCCGTGTGAAATTAGAATAAAACCTGTTTATAGTATTTATAGCCAGGTTGGTGTTTCTAAGAAAGGGTGACAAGCTCGAGGGTTTCCCCTCATCATCCCGACTTTTTTGTATGTTAGACTATCTGAGGAAGATCCACGAGAGGCACTTGGTCACTCGGCTCGAACTCAATCTGGCCGCCGGAGCGGCAATGTGTCTGGACATCCGAAACGCGTCCAACTCAGTGTGATGGCCACACATCCTCGGAAAGCTAGACGCATTTCGGGTGACTCCGTACATCAGCCGGATGATCCAGTTATACCTTAGGGACCGCGTCATTACTTACGAGAACGTCACGGGAACATCGCGTATGAAGCGGCGGCTGCGGAAAACCCCACAAACAGCTGAAAGGCAAGTTCTATATGCAATATATTGTATAATCAAAAAATGATCACCGACAATACCATTATTTATTTATTTAGTTTACGGGATATATCCCTTTTTTTACAAGCTATGTTTACATATTTAATTTTAACTAAATTGAGAGAAAGATACAAAACAAACAAAAAATACATAAAAACAAATAACAAAAGACAAATCAAAAATGTTTACAACTAATAAAACGAAATACGAAAAAGATATTACAAAACTCAATACAAATATTATTATAATATAAAATTAGGATCCGCATTAGAACTTCTAAGTAACCGGCGAAGGGGTTCATTCATTAGGTAGTTCGTGAGGGCATGCGTGACTTGGAAAGGCGCATTCGACCTGGTATTAATTTGCGGAACCCTAAAAGGGATCAGAGATAATAGCGCAGAACATCCTATCTTCCCATCAAGCAAACCTCCGAGAAACCTAGAGCCCGCAATAAAACGCCTCGATGGCAGTGTGGAAAGGCCTAAGTTATTTGTCACGGGGCTATAATCAAGGGGTGGATATGGTAAACCCAGCGCCCGCCCAGCAAAACATAGAAATTTATTTTGAACCCTTTCTAACTGGCGACAGTTGTCTGCTGTGTGGGGGTCCCATACCACACTTCCATACTCTAATATAGGGCGGACCAGTGCACAAAACAAAAGTTTTAATGTCTTTTCAAGCTTGAACTCTCTGGTTAATTTAATAAGAACACCAAGCATTTTGAAGGCTTTACAGCAGATATATTGGATGTGAGCACTGGGGTCAAGATTGTGGCTGAATTTGAATCCAAGGTCCATAATATTGTTAGATGCGCGAGGGATTTCTTCACTACCAAGGCGATATGGGAAAGTAATCGGAGAGTGATTCCTAGAAAATGTAAAAGCTTTGCATTTGGATAGATTAAGTGTTAAACCCAACTTAGTTACCCAGTCAACAAATTTATCAAGACCTGCTTGGAGCCTTATACAGTCACTAGGAGATTGAATTTGCATAAATATTTTCATATCGTCCGCAAAACAGAGAACACGAGAGTGTTTTAGAGTTAGCTGTATACTATTAACAAATATAGAAAATAGTAAAGGAGATAAGTGCCCCCCTTGAGGTCAGGCACGTAGCTATGGGTGGGCCTGGCCCCCCTTAGAATTAATGTGGCCCAGGGCTGGCCCCCCCCAAATTTAAAATTCAATTATTTTTACAAATTATCAAAAACGTGCTAGGCCTTATATACATTGAAATTATTATTAATTTTTGATTACTATTGAGTAATACAGTTATTATTATGGCTGTATTTTCATTTTTATATTCATAGAAAATGTTATTTGAAAAAGAATATTACATTCTAGACGTAATAATAAATGGAATAGCAGTTACTCCGAACGTGGTTGTAGGTAAATTTTTTTTAACTCTGGTCCAACAAATGATAACAAACTACCAAGTATGTGCACTGATTAAAATCTAGTTAATTACAAAATTTGATAGAGTAATACTCTTTGGAAATTTCTTTGATAAATGTTATCTTTCATCTGTTTCTTGTTTTATAATTTAGTACTAATAATAAGTAATTTATTTCTTTGTGTAAATTTGTTATTTTCATGCTTTTAAAAATATGACTGAAAAAAGGCAGGAATTATTTTCAATTTTTAACGTTTCAAAAAAACAGAAAGTTACAAACGAATTGGATTTAAACATAGTAAGTCCATAAAATAATAATGTAAATACTACTAATGTAATTTAACTTCTTTTACCTTCTATACAGTGATTGAAATCTAGTAAGACTCTTATTTTCTCAGAAACTATTGAAAAATTAAAATTTTTGTAAAAAGAAAAATTATTAAGTTTATAAAACTCTACAATAATAATAAGTTAAATACATTTTAGCTTCGATGCGAAGCTGAGAAGGTATTAGTTTTACTATGATGTGTTTTTTTTTTTT